GATTACATATTATATTCATTTCTTTCTTAGATTTAAGCCATAAATAGCAATTGAAATTGGTTTGGCAATGGCACCAACTAATAAAAATAGGTTTCTAAAGTAAAACCTTGCCAACGTTAACCGCGTACATTGACTATTATCAACACAAAAGGAAATATGCTAATTATTATGTAGCAGGCACTTATAGGCCAACACAACGTTCATGAAATATACGTGAATAAACAAGAATCTTTCTTGATATTTTATCAAAAAAGATTTTAAAGCGTTATATGCAGACTTACCCTGGCTAAATTAACATTACATGAACATCGAAGTTTTACTTCTAGAGCAAAACGCAAAATATTGTTGATTCAATTATTTCATTAATATAATTTTATTTTATTAATCATCACATATACATGTGTGAAAAAGGCATGAGAAATTAAAAAGGTGCATCGCTAACCAGATCCATGCAACTTCCTCACAATCGATAAGCACGCGATATCGCAGCACACAACTCAAAAGGCGACTCTTTGTATTGAAGAAGTCCCGCGAATATACAGAATTATGTAGGAATACAGAAAATAATAATTATAGCAAATAATTAAACCAAAAACGTTGCTAAAACGACTCGGCGAAAGGTCTACGTGGAGTTGCTGAAAATGTCCACCGAGTAATTTTTCATCACAGTTTTATGGTAAACCCGACACAATTTGTTAATTACATTAAACGATGAGCACAAACCTGAGACAGAAGCGTAAAATATTTGTTTCGAATCAAACGTGTACAAAATCATTTAGAATTATGTTCTCATACACTCAAATTTTGAAATAAATAATAATTTCTTACCCATCGATAATTACTCGGACCCCGCATCTTTGAACGAAAACTAAGTGTTCGCAAACAGTAGGGTGTATTTATCAGTTTTATATAATTAATCTTATCTAAATCTAATCATTGATTGGATACAACTAGATTATTTTGGGTTTTTCTGCTGTTTTAAGTGGTGTATTATGTGCATTAATTATTGTAAAACAAAATACTTGGCGATTAAAAGGTAGCAGAGTATTTCACCAGTTCTTCTCGTCTTTTTATTACTTTCTATAGCCTGAAGGCTCTCTTGGTAAATGGACTTTAAAAAAATCTAACCAGAATCTACCGAGATGAGCGAATTTAACAAAACAAGCAGATAAAAAACTATTCAACTTTATTTATTTATTTTTTAACACTTCATTGCATTACAATATAAGAATTTAACATATTTAAATGAAAAGGAGGGCAACTGGCGGCCTTATCGCTTTCGAGCGATCTCTTCCAGGCAACCACTGTGAGAAAAGAAAAAAAAATGTATTAAATTAGATAACTTATAATATACTTTATAATAATAAACATCAAAATTCAAGCAGAAAATTAAAACAAATTTTAAAAAAATGGTCCCTGTGGCAGTGTACTTTTAATTCTGGCAGAATATCCTCTCTGTATTGCGATACTTATTAGTTATCGAGGAAAGTACCAGCTAGGGTCACCGGTACTATCTACCAGGCGCCAACTTAATATTTAATTAGCGCCTGAACCGTAAATATTTTTGTTAACTAATTTCTATATTTTGAAAAGTCAGAACCCAGTGACGCTATAGATTTTTTTTCGGGAAAAGATCCCTCACCAGGTTTTTATTAGCATAACCATGCACGCGGATTTCAGGGTATAATCTTTTTATTATCAAAATCGTGTTACCACCAGAACAAATATATATCAATCACAAAGCAATTTACAATCAATACAGATATGTTTACTAGAAATTAGATTAATATATATAAGATAAAAAGTTACGATATATAAACTTTTCCAATTTCCCAAACAATAGCCTTCAAAAGACAGTTTGGAATTATTTAGTTAAATATTCGTAAACAGGGAAGGCAAGGAAGTATTGTAAATAGTTAGAGAAATTAGTATACATATGCGTACCGTTTCACAATTTGACAATTTCACTTCGATTATAATCTACCGAATAATAATACGTTAATTTGTAAGCAGTACGTTGAGTTCACAATCTTTCGACAGTTTATAATCTCGCGAGATAGATTACAATCTAACGGTATTTACAATTTTACGTTAACATATACACTACTGACGCAACCGCGACAAACGCACTAAACACTCAATCTCAATGTCAGTATTCTCCAATATCTACATACGCTTCTTCAATAAACCACCACCCCAATACTCCAGCTGCAGAGATCGAATATAGAGAAGCAATTCAACAAGCAATAGATGGTGTATTGATAATGGAAATACTACTGCCTTGGAGTACATTACTACTGATTGATTTATTAGAATGCAAAATTTACTTACCTAATTGTGAATTTAAATAAATAAAAAGTTTGATTAATACCATTATTCTTAAATAAATGCCCTCACTTTTAAATTAAAATAACTTACCTTTTTATATTCTCGAAGAACTTCTGCAATAGCTCTGCGTACAGTAGGTACTAGTAGTGCAATACAATTATCAGAAATTCTAAACAGATACATTAAACTTTTGTATGAATCTCCAGTTGCCAGAAATCGAAAGGTTAAAGCAAGTTTTGTTGATGCAGAAATTGGTTATCTCATGTTGGGCGTCTGTTTCGTAATTAATGGGCTACAGTAAAGTAATTCAAAGTCTGTTCGTGACATTCTAGTAAAGTTTTTGAATAATATACTGCTCAAAACAATTACGGGAACAAAACTTTAAAGTAGAACTAAACTTTTTACTTAAGGTTTTAATTATTACTGGCCACTAGATAATGTTAAGGCATTGTCGAAGAAAATAAAAAACAAAAGAGCATCGGCGTTTTGGTTAGTAGTCCTATAATAAAGTGGCAGTGTGTCTAGAAACACCTAAAAACAAAGTGACGTCTTTGAATTTTCATTACTTTCTAATCACAGAAAACACATTTTAAGTAGTTTTTTTTAATCTTTTGAGTATTAATAGAAATTGAAGTGAGCCTTTTGAGTATTGTTATTCATTGAAGCGAGTGAGTTTAGGTCATAATGCAAGATCTGACTGAATTGCATGTCTCCCGAGCTATCGCTTTGCCTGAAGAGGGTCGAACTATGCGTTATGTAGGAAATGATCTAGGAGTAGCCCCTTCTGTAATCTACAGACTTTGGAAGCGATACCGTGAGACGGGAGAATACTCACGAAGGCGTGGTCAAGGTCGAAAGAGAAAAACTACACATTTGCAAGATCGCTACATCGTCAACTGTGCTTTACGTAACCGCACCACAACTGCAAGAGATCTACAAAATACACTAAGGACGGCTACTGGTGTAGAAATTTCCGACCAGACGGTAAGAAATAGGTTGTTGGAAGCCAATTTGAGATCACGCCGACCAGTTCGGGCTGTGCGTCTAACAATTCAACATAGACAAGCTCGCCGACAGTTTGCGCAAAATCACGCTAATTGGCAACTTCGACATTGGAGGCCAGTGCTTTTTACTGACGAATCACGATTCCGTGTAACACGTTGCGATGGTCGTCTCCGTGTTTACAGACGCCCAGGCGAGCGATACAGTGCAGCAGCAGTCCAAGAATATGACAAATTTGGATGTGGCTCTGTGATGGTTTGGGGCGGAGTTAGTTTGGACGAGCGCACAGATCTCGTCGTTGTTCCCGGGCGCTTGTGTGCTCAAACTTACATTGAAAATGTGCTCGAAGATCATGTTTGGCCCGCAGCATATGGTATGGGCCCAGATTTTCTTTTAATGCAAGATAATGCCAGGCCGCATACTGCAGCCATCACGTCAGATTACTTACGACAGCAGGAAATCCGTGTAATGGAGTGGCCTTCCATGAGCCCTGACCTAAATCCAATTGAACACATTTGGGACTTGCTTGACAGGCGCATCCGGAAGCGTCCGATTGCACCACAAACACTGCAGCAGCTCACTGAAGCGTTGATTGAAGAATGGGAGTGAATTCCACAAGAAGATATTCGGAGGATCATACGAAGCATGCCGCGTCGTTGTCAAGCCGTGATTAGGGCTCATGGAGGCCACACACGTTACTGAAAGTCACTAAAGACGAATATTCAAACGATATAAGAATATTTCTTTGATGGACCTTTTTTATCACCAATTAGTTTTTCGTCTACAATGCACATTTTAATTTTTTTTAATAAAAAAAATACAAATTGAATTTTTTTATTAATTGTAGTAATTAACAAATTAACAAGGTAAAAAATAGCGTACAAGTTAATTTAAATCTAATTTTAGTTTAAGCAATAGAAAGGAGAAAAATCTTGTTCCGCTAATTGTTTTGAGCAGTATATATATAAAATTCTCGTGTCGCGGTGTTTGTGGTTAAACTCCTCCGAAACGGCTTGACCGATTCTCATGAAACTTTGTGTGCATATTGGGTATGTCTGAGAATCGGACAACATCTTTTTTTTCATCCCCCTAAATGTTAAGGGTCTACCCCTAAATTATTATTTTTTTAATTGTTAGATAAAAAAAAATATTTTTTATTTTTTTATGATACAGCATTAAAAAATATATACAACCCCTAATTTTCACGTCTCTACGATCAACCCCTATTTTTTATTATAAATGATATACATGGCAAAACGACGTTTGTCAGGTCAGATAGTAATATATAAAATTCTCGTTCACAATGTTCGTTCCCATACTCCTCCGAAACGGCTTGACCGATTCTTATGCAATTTTTATGCATATTCAGTAAGTCTGAGAATTGGCTACTATCTATATTTCAAACCCCTAAGTGATAATGGGTGGCCACCCCAAAAAAAAATACTTACAACTCCTAATTTTCACCCCTCTACGATCGACCCCTATTTTTTATTATTGTAGATAGTTATTTTTACTGAACTAAAAAAATGTTTCCATGAAATAATATACATGGCAAAACTAAAGTTAGTAAATCTATAAATTAATGAAAACGAACCACTGTTTCGTATAGCTATATTATGAACGTGTTCGGAGATCGAACCAGTTAAAATTATCTTGTGAATATTTTCATTATGAAGGTGGAACGCCGAGGTCCCCCCACGGACGCAGATAAAATCCACGATGAAGTGAAGAGGCTGGTCATGCTCTGTACCTGCAGGCAGAAGTTTAGGGTGTTCCAGGTCGGAGAAGGCAAATATAGGGTAAGTCAATATTTTATCTTAACTAGAAACTGCCTTCCATAATTTAAAAAAAAAACTTTAAAGGTCAAATACGTAATGTAAAGAAGTCCCGAGTTCAATTTTTAGGAATCGTTTAGAAAATGATGTCATTTTAGTGTTATCGACTTGTTTTAAAGAAAATTTTGTTAAAACAAAAATCAAATAAGTTCTTCCTTACGGCTTAAAAAGCGTATTATCAATTGATGACAATGACAATGTCAATTGACAATGAATTTAAAAATCTGTATACGATTGTAATTCAACTAAAATAATACTTTTGTTTAACGCTTTTTTTATAAATGTAATCATTGAAATTTGAAACTACGTATCTGAACGCGTTGTTCTCTGAACAGCTGTTTTATTATGAAAAACCTAGATGATTCTAGAAAATATAAAGTTAACGTTGTAATACGATAACAAAACATACTGAGTTAACTGAAATAAAAACAGTTTGGTGACTCGCAAAAACTCCGTCTGGTTCGGATCCTACGGTCTACTGTGATGGTTCGAGTTGGCGGTGGCTGGGTGGCCTTAGACGAATTCCTGGTCAAAAATGACCCATGCAGAGGTACGTACTATACTAACGAAAGTTTGTTTGGTTACTGTGTTAAGATTACTCGAATCAAAAATACTTCGAGAATATAATAGACTAATAATAAGTAGTCTACTTAAATTGTTGATTATATAGTTTGATTGAATGAACTAAACTGAAATTTGTAACCAAACAAACGGTGGCAGAAATTTAAGAAAAATATTGAAGACTGATTTTTAACTCTTAATCCTTGCATTCTAATATTTTTAGATATTAATTATTAACGTATCACAATGTTCCCTCCCACCGCGAAACTACGTAGTTCCGCGGGGTCCAGCCTTGTCGTGGCGGGAAGGCTCAGTACCGGCGGCACGGGGCGTACGCCTGAATGTGCTGCTGGAAAGCAAATGGGGCCACCACGACGTTATTAGCCGCTCCCGACAGATTCTCACTAGAAGAACCACGCGAGATGCGGCCGGGTAGAGGGCGCTTTAGGTGTCCATGCGTTTTCGGCGCTTCTGTGTTTTGTCTTGTTCGTGTCTCAATGTGCTCCCTGCTCCTCAACAGGCTGGTTTGTGGAGCGTTGTGTGCGTCCTCGTTATTTGCATTTCCCGCTTCCCTTTATCCGGCAGCGGTGTGTACTTGTATTGGTGTTTTTTGTATCTGTGTTTCGTCCTGCCTTGAATGGGCTGGCGGAAAGTGGTGTTTTACGTCCGTCTGTATAATGTTCGTGTGTTGCTTCGTTGCATGCGAAGCCAAGGTGGAGGACAAACGATTATTTATACTGTGCGTCCTATGCGCGGCTGACCCTTCCACGGCCTACATTGGTCTGCCGTACCCGCGCTTTTATGATTACTATAACGTGTATCTCTATGTATACTTTGCCCGTATACAGGTCACCTGAATCCCAAGTTTTGGTTCCAGGCGATGGGATGCATGACCGGGGGGTTTAAACCCGGTCACTAGGGCACCAAAGAGGGGAGCTACCCCTCCTTAAAATTAAAAGCACCTCAAAGCATGGAAAGTAACGGAAAAGTAAAGACTACCCCAGGAGGGTCAAATCCCTCCTATGACCAAGTGGTCATGGCATCCGGTCCGCATCGTATTCTGGGGGCGGACCACGACCATGCGATAGATCCCAAAAACTCACGACCTGGCAATAATACGGAAATAATGAACAAGCTTACGGATCGTAGCCGGCCGTTGGATGAGTGCTCAGGCGCTTTTGCAACACCTTCTACACAAGGAGAGATCGCAATAAGGGAAAGCAATGAGATCGTCCAGCGCACTTCATGTCCATCACCGGTGCGAAGTGCAACCTGGACCTTCGCGATGGCTGACAATATGAGCTCAGACTCAACAAGCTCCATGTTAAGCATAAGCTCGACACACAATCAACAGAGTCCTCGAGGACTAGGTGAGGCTCCTTGCACCCCAGGGGAGAAGTCGCGCTTCTGGCGACTCCGAAAGAGAACGAGACAGGATGACGAGGAGAGTAGCTGCAGCGACACCCCTATCCTTTCGCACGAACGCACGAAAGCGGGGTACCAAAGAGCCCGGAGAGTAGAGAGAGAAAGTGAAGCCGAGGCGGAACTCGCGGCTCTTAACGAGAAACCTACTGAGACGGGTACGGTTGGAAACGCCAGAAGACGCATCGAAGAAAACCTGGCTGCCGTAGAAAAAGTGGCCAGGTGTTCTATGAACCTAAAAGGTACCTTTGTAGCCGCTCTTAAAAAGGCAGTTGTAGCAATCAGAACGGATGCTGATAATCTGGCCGTGCAAACGCTGTCGGATGAAACTCGAGCTCTGCAGCTACAAAATGAACGCCTCCGTGCACAACTTAATTTACTACAAGGCGAGATGCGCGAGCTGAGGTCGATCTTGCAAGCTCCGAAGGACCACCCAGCTGTCAATGTAGACGAACTGGAGGCTCGGATCCTCCGACAGGTAGGTGAGCATATCAATGCTCAATTTAAGGATCTCGGGCCAAGGCCCAACTTGGAGACGCCAGTCCTTCCCCTTCTGACTGAGAGCAAAAAGAGCAAAAAAGGTAAGGCGAAACCACCTTCCAAATCACCGATGTCAGCAGCAGCTTCGAAAACAAAACGGGGAAAGGCAACCGTGCAGACGTATGCCGTTGGAAAGAACGAGCAAAACCGTTTTTCAAACGCGACGAGAATGGAATTGTTTGAAAGAAATACACCTGTCTCCTCTCCCGCTAGTGCCATTGTATTGCCACACTCCCGGCCCTCGCTGACCACCACCAATGAAGAAGATTGGACGATGGTTACTAAAAAAAGGCAAAAGGCGGCAACGGCGACGCAAAAAAATGTGAGAGCTCCAAAGTCGGCAAAACCGAAGGCTGAAAAGCCCCCACCCAGGACCCTGCCCAAGCTAAAGGCACCTCGTACCGCTGCAATTGTGCTCACTTTGTCTAAAGACGCTGAAGCTAAGGGTGTTACCTACGCCGCTGCCCTAAAAGAAGCACGGGCTAAAATAGATCTGAAGGAGGCTGGAATTGAGGGCGTTAAGTTTCGCCGAGCGGCAACAGGAGCCACTATAATTCAGATCCCCGGAGCCGGCAGTGGGGAAAAAGCCGATACCTTAGCCAACCGACTCAAAACAGTACTGAGTGACAGCGGAATCAAGATCACACGGCCCGTCCGATGCGCCGATGTCCGCATCTCTGGCCTGGACAACTCTATTGCAGCGGATGAATTGCGCGAGGCTATTGCGGCGAAGGGAGAGTGCCCGGCTGATCAAATAAGGATCAGCCGAATACGACAAGATAGATCGGGTCTTGGCGCAGCGTGGGCTAACTGCCCCGTAACGGCCGCCAAGAAACTCTTAGCGGGGCGTTTCTTTGTCGGATGGGTTGTGGCAAATATTAGTGTTGCAAAGCCAAGAGAGCTACGGTGTTTTCGCTGCCTACAAATCGGGCACGTAGCTAGCCGCTGCATGTCCGATACTGATCGTAGCCAACTGTGTTTTCGCTGCGGTCAAGCCGGTCACAGGGCAGCCTCCTGCAGTGAAAAACCCAAGTGCCTACTCTGCGACGAGGCCGGTAGGAAAGCGGATCACAGGCTAGGTGGCAACAGCTGCACAGCTCCCAGTGTGAAGGTACCCAGGCGCCGCTCGTCACCTAAAAAAAAAGACGCCCGCAAAGTCTCCGCGTAACAATGCGCGTATGGAGGTTATAGAAACCGCAGCAAATTAACATGGCCCTATTGTTTCTCCAGAGCAACCTTAACCATTGCGCTGCTGCACAAGACCTACTGTACCAGAGTCTGGCGCAGTGGAATATCAACATAGGTATAATTTCCGAGCCCTACTCCATACCCGAAAAAACGAACTGGGTTGGCGACCTCGACGGTCTGGCCGCAATTATCGTTACACCGGCAGACGGCTCGCCCTGCATTGGCCCAGTTCGAAAAGGCCACGGCTATGTGGCAGCAAAGTTGGGAAGCAAAATGTGTATCGCGAGTACGTACTTCTCCCCCAATCGATCGCTGGCTGAATTTGAGGCCTTCCTAAACGAACTGGGAAGCCTGGTGCAATGGAGTCACCCGAGACATTTAGTCATCGCTGGGGATCTGAATGCAAAGTCTGTGGCCTGGGGTTCATAGATGTCCAGCCCACGAGGAAAAGCGTTGGTGGACTGGGCAGCAGCGCACTGTTTGGTAGTGGCCAACAGGGGCTCTGAAGCTACGTGTGTTCGAACAAACGGAGAATCGACTGTGGATGTGACTTTCACGAGCCCCCATCTTTCGTGCTGTGTTCAGGACTGGGAGGTCCTGACGGGGGTTGAGACGCTTTCGGACCACCGGTATATCCGCTTCCGCACTCTCTCTCCGTCGGCCAATCCTAGCTCGGACCCGTCAGAAATGTTCACTTGGGAGTCTTAACAAGGAACAGGCGGAATTGGCTACGATTGTGCAGGCCTGGTGCCCGATCCCAGCCTCCGTAAATCCAGAGGAAGAGGCAGAGTGGTTTCCTGGCGCAATGACTTGCGTCGCGGATGCCGCAATGCAAAGAAGACGCCCTGGAGCTCACCGGACCAGTGTATTCTGGTGGTCGGCAGAACTCGCCCAGTTGCGGGTAGCTTGTGTAGCAGCTCGTCGAGGCTACACCAGGACTCGCAGAAGGCGACCAATTCGCATAGAAGAGGAAAAACAAGCATATAGCGTATACCGAGATGCAAAACTGGCGCTGCGAATAGGTATCGCCGAAGCAAAAAAGAAAGCATGGCAAGAACTGCTTGACACCCTGGAGCGGGATCCCTGGGGACGCCCGTATCAGATTGTCACAAACAAGCTGCGCTCGTGGGCCCCGCCACTCACGAAAAACATGGAGCCGGAACTGCTCAGCACAGTGGTGGCGGAACTTTTTCCTGAACACGACGCCCTGAGCTCCCCACATGAGACGACTACGGAACACAGTGTCACAGTGTCTGAAGTATCTCCTTCGGAGCTGAAGACAGCAATAGCGCGCATGACCACTAAAAAAACTGCACCTGGTCCCGATGGCATGCACGGACGAGTGGTAGCTCTGGCCCTCGACGCTGGTCTTGACATGCGCTTTCGAAGCCTCCTCACGGAATGTCTTAGAAATGGCCTCTTTCCGTCAACATGGAAGACTGGGTTGCTAGTTCTTCTAAAAAAAGGTGGAAAACCTCCAGAGTCACCATCAGCGTATCGACCTATAGTTCTCCTAGATGAAGCCGGCAAGCTCTTCGAGCGTATTATTGCCGGTCGGATTTACAATCATTTGGAAACTATAGGACCAAACATACATGAGGCTCAATTCAGCTTCCGGAAACATAGGTCAACGATCGACGCAATTGCGCGCCTGCGCGGCGAAGCGTCTGCGAGGAGCAGGTGTCACGGGGCAGAGTGGTTTTCGCGGTATCGTTAGACATCGCGAACGCTTTCAATTCCTTACCATGGGACTGTATCGCGGACGGCCTGCGCCACCACGGCTTACCGGCCTATATAAGAAAATGTGTAGCATCGTACCTCAACGGCCGCCGTGTTATCTTCCCGAAACAAAATGGCATAGGGAGTCACCTCATCAAGTGCGGCGTCCCACAAGGTTCGGTTCTTGGCCCCCTTCTTTGGAACATAGGTTACGATAGGGTGCTGCGAGCGAAACTAGTCCCTGGAGTGTCAACTATATGCTATGCAGACGACACCCTCGTGGTCGCTATTGGAGAAGATTTTAAGGAAGCGCGCCTCCGAGCGACAGCTGGAGTAGCTAGGGTGGTTTCTGAAATCAAGAAGCTCGGCCTTGTTGTCGCCCTTCAGAAATCAGAAGCTATATGCTTCTACTATCGACTTGTGCAGATGCTGTCGGGGCACGGATGCTTTGGTAGTTATCTGCACAAAGTAGTAGGGTGTGAGGAGTCACCAACCTGTCACCACTGTGTCGGAGACAACCGGGACGACGCCCTGCATACATTGAGGGACTGCCCAGCATGGGAAGCGGAAAGGAGACCTTTGTTAGATGCTCTCCAGGGCGAGGACGCAATACTGCCAAACGTAGTGAAAGCCATATTGAGCGCAGGAAATTACGGCTCGTGGAAAATCTTCTATAATTTCTGCGAGTCGGTCATGAAAGTCAAAGAAGAAGCGGGAAGAACCAGGGAGCTTCGGAACCCGTCCGCGGCGGCGAAAGAAACCGCAGGCCCGTCAAATCCTCGCCACCTAAAGAGTGCCCAAGCGGGGAAGCAGGGGTCCATGCGTTCAAAAGAAGGGATGGTGATCCATCCCTGCAAGCACTGGACCCGATCTCCCCTAGCTATTCCTAAAAGCGTATGGCCCGATCTGTGAAGGATACTTGCTGTGTCAAGTATCTTCACAAATCAACAATGGGCGGGGAGAGGCGGACACAACTGCCGCATCGCATGTCGGGAAGCGGATAAGGCTCTGCTGTTACCGCATCCCGCCTAAGGCGATTGTTGGTGGCGCCTTGGGGTTTTAGTGGGTATGCACATTCGCGAGTCCCACATAACCCTCCCGCACTAAGCAGTCGCACCGCGATAGGGTATGCGCAATGCATTTCCCCAAGTAAAAAAAAAAAAAATCACAATGTTTTGTGGAGATATGATTAAATAATTTTTATAACTTATTTTAAAAAACTCTTCTACTGAACTTTACAGTCAAAATTAGTCTAAATCGGTCGTGCAAAGTTAGTTATATCAATACTGCCAAACTTGAGCACTGTGTAAAATGTCTGGTTTCGAAAATCTTGGAAATTCAAAGTTTGTCATTCTGGAATATGAACCTGAGACTTGCTATGATTGCCACAAAGGATTAATGTAATAATAATGATTATAAACAAAAATATTGTTATTAATTGTTTCAAAAGTTATTTTTAATCAAAGGAAAAAAAAATATTTTAATACAAATTGATTTGTCTCTAATAACTAGTTTGTTATGATATGAACTTTATTATTAAATATTCCATTTGGCTTATAACAATTAATGACTTTGTAATGTGCATTTTTTGTGCTACATTAAAAGTCCAATTGATATAAGAAATTCAAAGTGTCAATCCCAAGCGTTAACTTGTTTGTGTCTTAACCCTTAACTGTTTTAACGTCCATTAACAGGTTTGACGGGCAAATTCAGCTCATTTTAATAAACTAAAGAATGTTACTAACATAAAATAGAAACAAATAAAAGAACAATACACTTTTAAACATTTATTTACTACACATGCTACAAAATGATACTGGCAACGTAGAAAAGAAAAATATCACAGAATTAATGGCAAAAATTTAGTCTTAGAATTCGTTAGAAAATCAAGGTAAAATAAAGACATTATAGCAAAGGTTTTTGCTTATTAAAAATAGCTTGTTAGTGATAAATGCATTTAAATATACTTAAGACTTATCTAAAAAAAATTATCTCTATTTTCCCATACATGGACAATATTTAACTTGAGTAATAATAATAATAATAATATAAGCCTTTATTCAGACAAGATACAATTTTACTTAAGCTAGAATATAAATGTTTAGTATTGAAAAAATTAACTTAAATATATTTGAATATTTACATTCCCTCGACAACCATGTCTGTTTGCCTTTTGTTGGCAAAGGCCTCCTCCAAATGCAACCATAAATTACCATAAATTATTATTTAACTTGAGTAATACTGATTTTAATCTCTAAAAATAAAATGAGATTCATTAAGTTCATTATACTGTTACATTTCTAAATATTAGTTAAAAATATTTTATGGTTAAAGTTTACACAATTATTTAATCAATAGCCGATTTTGTTATGAAGGATGTAAAGGAAGATATTTCACTCTTTTCTGGCATATGCTTAAATTCAATTTCCTCACTCAGATTCTGTGTGTCAGATGTATTTTCATTGACAGGCCATTTTTTGTGACTCGGCGCATACAATACCAATAAAGCAAAAGTATAGATATTCCACATTCCATAAACGCCGGTGAAAAATGCTGAGGTATATTGCAGTTTAATGTTGGCATCCCACTTCCATTGGCCCTCAGCCACTTGTCCTAGTATAAATCCAATTACTGTCATGGCCGCACAAATCAGAGTAGCTAGCATTAAAAACTTGAAACGGTATATAATTCCTTCATAGTGCAATCGGCGCACTGAGCACATAGCTGGTAATGATTGACGCTTCTGTGATATATTCATAAACACTTTCCACACCATGTAGGTTAAAAATAGGAAGTACATTCCAGTCGAGATACATGCCAGTATTATAAAAGTCGGAGCCAAGTTAGTTCCCAATTCTGATACCCAGATGGAATAAAACGGGTTTCTCAGTTGCATCCTACGCTCACACAGGTCAAAGACAAAAAGTGAGACAAAACCCAAAAGTACAGCATTGAAGTGCCACCAATATTTCCTTACACTGTTTTTATCTTTTGACTCTTGTATCAACATGTGTTCTCCAGCAAATACAAGCCAAAATGAAAATAGACTTGTATAAAAAAGTCCTTGACGAAGGTCATTTAATAATAACATAAAAGGCAAGTCAAAAACCAGTGTTATAAATTCAATAGGCATGTCTAGAACACAAAGAGCTATGCCCAATGCATGTAACATCTCCTCCAAGAGAACAGGTTTTCTTTGCAATAAATGTATTCTGCGCCAGAACCACACCAATATTCCAAAAATACATGGAAAGAAAACAGTTTTCAAGGACAGCCATACTTTAGTAAAACCTCCATTTTGATTTATAACAGTGACCCACATGTCCTGTATGTGACCAATATGGGCATTCATATCTTTTGTTTCAACTGGCAGGCGAATGTTAAGTAAATAATAGTCATGGTACAAGGAACCAAGCTCAAATAAAGGCATGGCAGAGCAATTATACAAATATCCTTCAGTTTTGACATTTATGTCACAGTCCAAGTGCCGTTTTTCCCTTGAAAGCGTGTATAGCTTCCAGGCGTCGTCGGGGTCTCCTTTGTTTTTATACGCTAGACGAGCGTCAATAGTTATAGTACTTTGTCGAGTTACCTCCATTGATGAATGATACCTTACATCCATTTGAAGCACCCCAATCAAGTTTTGCTGCCACCTAGAATAGTCGATATTCATGCCCTCGCCCGGCAATGGCAATTGAAACGCAAAAACAATGTCGGTCTCAGACAAATCGTGACTCAGTTGTGCTTCTGTAAGGTCAACAGACTTGCATTTACCATTGCCACGATTGTAGAACCATTTTGTCATATCATTTTTCACTTTAGATCTATCTCTGCATACAGTTCCTAGAATAGTTTGCGAATTTGCGGGCATGGGTGCGACCAAGCCGCCAATCAAGAAACACATCATGAGACATGCTAGTAGAAATGAAATAAGTATCGCGAGTTTACGTCCACTGAGATTTTCTAACACCGTTCCAGTCATTTTTTTCTTATTTTTTACATTTAATTTACACAAATAGTCAACACGCCCGAACACAATTGATACAACGCAACCGGCCGAGATAAAACTTAAGAGTGAAGGACGGAAAATGGAAATGACATGCGCTGTCAACATGTCAGAGTTGCGCAGTCGTGAACCAGTTGCCAGTATCTATTGATGTAAAACCTTATTATTTAGAATTTAAAAAAAAAAGTTGTATTCTATTAACCTTCTGTCTATCAGATTTTCGTCAATAAATGTTGTATTAAAACGTTGGCTAATTAAAGCATATTATTTGTGTACAAAACTATAATATGGTAGCAGAGCGTGGTTCGATTTGATTGGACCAACGTTTTCAACGAAGATTGAACGAAACAAATAGTGTTTTCTGGGACATTTTCATCTCATAACCTGGTGGTGATAGTTACTGGAATTTTGGTGACTGACAATCATGGAATTTCAAGGTATTGAGAAGTTGAAGGGTTCGGAAAACTGGAATATTTGGAAATTTATGGTGCGTAATTTATTGCGTGCAACTGATTGAGCCATCTTCCTCTCGTTCAATGAGCATATTCAAGAAAGAACCAAGCTCTTCAAAAGTGATCTTGAACTCAATCTCAGCTTCCTCAGGAACTCTTGAATAATGCCATCTTTCGTCGCAGCAACCAAGCCATCGTCCACGTACAAAACAACGATCAGTTTATCTTCATCAGATATACGATAAAAAAGACACGGATCAGCTTCACTTTGGACAAGACCAAACTTACAGATTAAAAACTCCTTGAATCGATTGTTCCACTTTGGCGATTGCTTCAAACCATAGAGACTCCTAATCAGCAAGCACACAAGATTAGAACCGTCTTCAAAACCTTCAGCTTGATTCATGTAGATTTCTTCGTCCAGGAAGCCGTTCAAAAATGCCGTCTTGACATCAAACTGGGCCAACTTGAGATGTTCCTTGGCAGCAATACTCAGGATCGCCCTGATTGTATCAAAGCGAGCTACAGGACTGAATGATTTATTATAATCGATACGATTAAGTCGAGCTTTGTAACGACAGATCTTCCCTTCCGCATCTCGTTTGATACGAAAGACCCAGCGGTTGGCGATAGTCTTCCTTCCTGGTGGTAACTCAGTCAAAGTCCAGGTTTCATTTTCCTCCAGCGAAGACATTTCTTCTTTCATCGCAGCCTTCCAGTGCACATGATCAGCCGACTCCATGGCTTCTTTGTAGCTTCGAGGTTCATCTAACTCTGCAAGAAACATCTCATTGAATCTTACAGGTTTCTGAAGAGTACTTCTATCTCGAAGACGCCGTTGAATGGGCTCCTTTGCAGTCTTGGGGGTTTCATCGAACTCTTCGATTCGCGGTTCAGCATCAACAACTCGATCTGGTAACACAGGATTCGGGACTTGAGGCAGAATTGAAGCTTCAGGTAAGTTCAGAACTCTAGGAGAGTTCAGATTTTCAAGATGGTCTTTAATTTCTTCGACAACGGGATCCTTTTCTGTAGCTTCATCAGATTTTCGTCAATAAATGTTGTATTAAAACGTTGGCTAATTAAAGCATATTATTTGTGTACAAAACTATAATTTTGTACAGTCTTGCGCGCGCATTGATACGAAACGTACGCGCGATTTGTTGCGGGAGCGCATTCCCTGCAAGATGGCGTCCTTAATTAAGTGCAATAATTGCAATATTGTAATCGATGAGCTTCTGTCATATATACAGAATAAAATATCGATATCGGATGAGGTCACATTAGTAAAAATATGTGCATCGACATTCACAAAGGAACAAATTCAAAAATCGCATTCGTTATTGTTTGAATCGGTACCGGCCGAAGTGAGAAAAACGGGAAGAAGAGGAAAAGGAAAGGAAAAAGATCGTTTGTTATCCGATATGCTCAGTTTTATTAAAATTACTGACCCTGATGTTTTGCCTATTTTTGTGGCCCGCGATAAACTACTAGATACCTGGATAAACTACCTGGATAAACTACCGCCATTAACTTTCGACCACCTGGATGTCTCAAAGTTATTGAAAGATTTGTCCAGGGTACAGGCTGATATCGCATTAATCAAGTCATCGTATGTCACGGCTGAGCAGTTTGAAAACTTAAGAACATTGTGCAGAAATAAACAAAATACTATGGTACCCTCACCCTGTACTTATAATAATAATGTTAATACGAAGAGGGGTGCATTCGGTAACAATAGGAATGCGCATAATGATGATGATTATTCTAGTCCGGGTAATAACTCTGCTAGAAATTTATCGCCTCAAGTGAATCTATCGCCTCGAGTGAATGAAACCGGTTTGGCGCAAAGTAGTGATGACTCACTAAGTGCAGACCGTCAACAAACTATTAACGACACCGAAAATAAGAAGACTTACTCCGCTGTCGCTAATTCCATCAACTCAGAATGGAAAGTTGTACAAAGAAGGAGAAAACCTAATAGAAATCGAATGGAGGGAAAGACGGGTACGCTGGCAGTGAATTCGGAGGAATTGTTTAGAGCTGCAGAAAGAAAAACACCTCTATTCATAACGAATGTCCACAAAAGTACAAATGAGTCGGACATAATAAATTATATTAAGGAAAAAACTGGAGACACTGTCAGCTTAGAAAAGATCTCCATAAAGCGCACTTGTGACTACAATGCTTTTAAATTCTTTGTCTCACAGAAAAAACTTTCAGTTTATTTGGATCATGGAATGTGGCCAGAAGGCATCATTTTACGTCGCTTTATTCACTTCAAAATAAAGCGTAAGTTTGAAATGTCTATAAAGGAAGGCAGCACGATTTCCATACGTTAATATTATGAACCTGGAACCAACGTATAAATTTGCTTCTTTCAATTGTAAGAACGTAAAACGGTCCATCGATGATTTACGTAATATGTGTAAAGTTGTGGATATTATAGCATTGCAAGAAACATGGTTATTCTCGGAGAAGATGCCACTTCTTAGTACCATAAGTCAAGAATTCAGTGGCACGGGGGTATCATCAATGGATGCGGAGGCTGGCTTACTAAGAGGTCGGCCATACGGAGGTGTTGCCCTGCTCTGGAGAAAGAGCATCTTTCAAAATGTCTCAGTGATTGAGTGTCATAACCCGCGTGTGTGTGCGATTAAAGTGATCTCAAATGATAAGCCATTCATAGTGCTAAGTGTGTATATGCCCACGGACGAGGCGGTAAATGTAGCCGAGTTTACGGATGTCCTTAGCTCGGTAAGTGCTATAATAGACAGTTGTGCGATAGAAAATACATACATTTTAGGGGACTTTAATGCTCATCCATATGAACGTTTTTATCATGAAATGGATAATTTTGTAAGAGAGCAAGAATGGTGTTGCTTTGATATTGAATGCTTAGGTGTCACTTCTGATACGTACACGTTTGTAAGTGATGCTAACGGGTCACGGCGGTGGCTTGATCATTGTTTAGTAACTAAAGCCGCGGCGAAGACTATTCAAAATGTGTATGTCATGTATGATGTTTTTTGGTCAGATCACATGCCGCTGGTTATTGAGTGTAATTTAGATATGGTTGTTAAAAAACGAATACATTTAAATAACTATAATAATGCAGTGGTTTGGGGGGAAAGAACACATGAACAAATATTAATGTATCAGAGAGAATGTCATGACAGGTTGAGACAAATTGACTTTCCTCCTGAATTTCGTTATTGTAGTGATAAGCTATGTAGTAATCTTAGTCATAGAAAAGTAATTAATAAGCTATATGACAATATTATTCTGGCCCTTTTGGCATCTTCTGTTAAAACTTGTAAGTCAGTACAAAAAAAGAAAAAACCGATTGTAGGTTGGAATAAGCATGTACAAGGGCATCACAGAGAGGCCAGGCAAAAATTTGGCCTATGGTTAGAGCACGGTAAGCCTTTACAAGGAAAGGTATATGACGAAATGATTTTGAGTCGTAAAATTTTTAAGTCACGCTTGAGATGGTGCCAAAATAACGAAGACCAAATAAAAATGGATATTTTGGCTGCTCATCACGCTAAGAATGATTTTCGGTCTTTTTGGAAATGTACTAATAGATTAAAAGATAAGTCGGGCCTCCCTGTGAGTGTCAATGGAGTGTGTGAGCCCAAGGAAATTGGTGATCTAATTGCTAATTACTTTACAGTTAAATCGCCGATTGGGCCCTCACAGTCGAGGCTAGATGCTGTGACCCAGTGTAAAGGTGGCATAAGTTTGAAACCTTCTATTAAAGAAATAGATAGCACTATAAAGTCTATGGTTAGAGGTAAGTCACCGGGGCACGACGGTCTCAGCATCGAGCATCTAAAGTTTGCAGGCCCACACTTGCCTCGCGTTCTATTTCTTCTATTTAATGCTTGTATAGCGCATAGTTACATGCCTAGTGATATGATAAGTAGTATTGTAGTTCCAATAGTTAAAAATAGGACAGGCGATCTCGCCGATATTCATAACTACAGGCCTATATCTCTGGCAACCATTATATCAAAAGTGTTTGATGGTGTGCTTAACACTCAATTAAGTAAATGTATAAAGCCACACGATAACCAATTTGGTTTTAAACCTGGGCTGTCCACAGATGGTGCTATTTTGAGTCTTAAGCATACTATTAACTATTATGTTGAACGTAAGACGCCTGTCTTCGCATGTTTTTTGGATTTGTCCAGGGCATTTGACCTTGTTTCCTATCATCTGCTGTGGAAAAAACTTGAAAAAATCCATTTACCACAGGATACCATAAATATTCTTAAATATTGGTACAAAAGTCAGGTCAATAGTGTGCGTTGGGAGGGTGTCCTGTCGGATCCGTATAGGATGGAGTGTGGGTTGAAATTGGCTTCATCTAATCTTTAATTATTATTAATTATGCATGTTTGAAAAGTTATTTGCTTAATTAATAATATTTCACTTAGTAGGTAGATACTAATTTATATTTAAATGAATCAAGTGCAAGGTTGACCTTAACATTATAAAATTGGGTTTATTTATTTAATA